CCACATATGTAGGACCAAGTTTACCGTACTACCAGTTCATTGTGACCCTATAGGATAAGGTAGAACTGCCCCCATGAGTTTCCAACAGTGTAATTCTTTCACCTGCAGAGTGGGTGGTTTTGAACTGCTGGCCTTGTAGTTAGCAGCCCAATGTATAACCACTACACCACCAGGGCTTCTGCAAATTGCCAAGAGCAACTCAAAAGACTAGATAGAAACCTTAGCAGGCAGTGAGTTTTACTAATGTGGGAAGAACAACTCAGACAAGGAAGGCGATAACGACTGTACGACTCAATGTCCACAGTGTCACTAACTACACGTGGAAACAGCTGCATTGCTCTGTTTTTTCTGTGTGTATTCTCAAAACAACAAAATAGATAAAATGTAGGGGAAATGAACTGTGGAGGAAAAACACCCACAAAAGTGGCAACTTTAAATCCCCTCAGTCATTGGTCCCAGCAGGTGTCTTCAATTCATTTAAAGCAATTAGGTGTTATTTTATAATCTCTCCAGTTTCTTCTTACCCGTGTTTGCTGTCTCTAATTAACTTAACATTTGAATGCTAATTAATTGCCAGACACTGTCCTAAACACGATGTATAAAGATAGCACATTATCCCTGCCCTAGAGATACTGCGTACATCCAGTACAGAGCACCTACTGTGTGCCGGGCACTGGGCTAAGCCTCAGGGATACAAAGAGGAATAAGCCTCCTAGCAGGAGACAGCTCGGTACAAGCAGCTTGGGGGGTGGGGGGGAGCACCTTTAGTGGAGAAGTAGTAAGTACAGAGAGGCGGCAGCAAAGGAAAATAAGCAGTCAGCAGCACAGGAAGTAAAAGAGGAGCACACTCCATGTGTTGTTGAAAGAGGACTTGCCAGGTGGAGACGTGGAGTGATGGATTTCTTTACAGCACTGACAGACACACACTGAGAGTGGATGCCGAGTCTGCTTATAGACCATCCAGCACGGAACTCAGAAGACAGTAACGGCTCTTTGGTTTGGAGGCTTAGGGTCATGGTTTCCTGAGACGCCCTAGTTAATTGGTCCAATAAAGTGTTTAGTGCTTCCGTTCCGCCTCCTGGTTGGTTGTCTCATGCCTGGGGGTCTTACTTCTGTGGCCATATAAGGCACCGCAATTGCTCTCTAACCACCTGGGGCAACAGAGGAAGGAGGGTCCAGAACAACAGGAGGATATGGGAAGTGTAGCTAATTGTCTCCTGAACTGCCTCCTCTTTGTGATCAGGAGACCAGAATAGGGGTGAGGGACGGCCTGCTTCTTGGGGAAACTTCAAACAGGACTAGAACACAGGGCATGGGGTCTACCAGCATTGAAACCGAGAGGCAGGCCGGCCTCTGTGTTGCTGAGCTTATCCTGAGAGTAGTGTGTTTCTGAAAGACCCCTCTTGGCAGCACTACAGACAAGGGATTGGCTGCAGAAGGACTGCTTGGAGACTCACATTAATGTTTTAGGCAGAATGTGCTGAAGGACTGAACACGGGTAATGGGGGCTGAGGAGATGGCAGGAAAGACACCGAGTCTGAGGACAACGGAGGGCAGACTCGGCAGCACTGGGAGGAATGCAGCCGCAGTGTCCAGAACGTTTTCGGGCTGGAGAGGCAAACGGGATGAATTCCAGGTGATGCCTGCTGTAGACCGTGCTATGAGTGTGGGCACTCTGGAGATGACAGTTCAGCCAACAGCTGGTGGAAGATGGCAGGAGAATCCAGAAATGATTCGAGGATCATTGTCCAAGATGGAAAAGAAATACGAGGAAAATAGGCGTTGAAGATCAAGAGGTCGTCTTTGTTGCCCTTGCCATCTAGTAGCACCTGGTAACACCTCGTAATGTTACCACCAAGGTTGCCTGCAGATCTCCCACCCGAAGCTCACAGTCCGACCCAGATTTGTTTACTGCTGACTGCTCAGATGAGGCTTTCTACTCTCATCAAGAGTTATAGTCTCAAGACAAGATAGATGCATTAACAAATACATGAAAAAATGCCCACGATCACTAGCCACACAGGAGATGCAAATTATAACTACAGTGAGATACCACTTTACACCCATAATGCTAGCCCAACACACACATACACAAATAAAACAAATGTTGGCGAGGATGTGGAGCGATTAGAACTTGTGTACACTGTTGGTAGACTTGTCAATACCTACAACCACTGTAGAAAACGATATGGCAATACTTAAAGCATCTGGGAATTGAAACCCATATGATCCAGAAATACCACTATTAGGCATATACCCTAAAGAAATGAGACACAACATGAGTGGATGTGTGCTTTCCCATGTTTATAGCAGCACAGTTCACAATAGCAAGAAAATGGAAGCAGGCCAAATGCCCAACAGAATGGATAAAGAATGTATAGTACACAGACACAATGGATACTATGCATCCCTGAAATCAGGGATGCAACCATGAAACACTAAAAGACATGGAAAGATCTGGAAACCATTATGCTGAGCGCAGTAAGTCAATCACAAAAGGACAAGTATTGTCTGAGTCCTCTACTATGAGGGCAAAACTCAATGTATCTTAGGGACCAATTCCTAAACAAAGAGTAGAAGGCTATCTACCAGCCGTCAACCACCCCCTCACCCCCCTATGAGCATGTCACAAGACTCCCCTTGAAGGAGGAGACCTCACATTGGCTAGGGTCACTTCTTCAAGAGGGGGAAACGGGAGAAGACCATCCACTTGATGCTATACAGCGTTGAGACCAGACTGGGACAAATCAAGGGCCCTCCACAGGAATGGAAGGAGAACCTTGCCAGAAAGTCAAGTCAAGACCAGGGGAGGGGACATTTACATACTGGAGGAGACACTGATAGTTCTGTTGGTGAGTACGGTGGGGGGATGGGGAGGTGCAACCTCATCTCGGGAAGGATGGCCACATAATGATTATAGGGAACCTGGGGAGACAGTAGAACAGATTTTATGTTCCTCGGTATACACTACAAATATGTTTCCACCCAACCCTCGATGAACCAGGTCATGTACTAAACACCATGATGACCTTGGAGGCAGCATGGCATTCCCCAGGGGCCACACCAGAAGGACGCAATATAGAGCCCGACTGAGTGAACTGAGCCGCCTCGAAGCTGCCGGCACCCTTGGACTGAAGACTGAGGACTGGGATGGGAGAGGAAGCAGAGGGGCCGCCCGGGGCGGTGAAAGTGGTGATCATTGGACCTTGAGGGGAACCCCCAACTTGAGGGATGTCCAATAGAAAAGACCCAGAATCACCATATATGTAGTACCTCGATGGCCCCCTTGCATTGATATGACAGGTTTTTTGATCTGTTGGGCAGGGATCTGCACTTGTAAGAACTGATCCAGGAAGTTTCCCCTGGCAACAATCTCCAGAGCCCCACTGAACGGGAGGTCAAACTGGGCAGGGCAAAGACTCAAGGTGGAAGTGGGCTCGCACGGACGCATGCTGGCAGTGTCTGGAGCACTGTCATTGAAAAAACTGTTGATGTTCTCAATCCAATTACCTTGTACACCAGGGGGATGACTGACGATGTTTACCTTTGTTGTTTCTTTGGGGTTTTGTTTTTTCTGCCTGTTGGTTTTGTTTGTTTGCTGGTTGTTTGTTGCTGGTGGTGGTAATCCTACGGGGTTTTGTTTTTGTAATAATACAACCGCCAAAGTACACCAGAGTCTTGCATAATCCGTGGACAAGCAGATGGATTCTAGGCTCCCAGGTAACTCTAGTCCCAATCCAAGAACAGTCTGTTCTGGTCACATGGCCCTGCTTGATACCTTCATGAAATGATCACTGAAGATAAGGGTGCTACAGCAAAGTGTGGAGAAGAAAGCAGACGGTGCCCGGCTATTAATTGGATTATTGTCTGGGCTCTTAAAGGCTGTATTCAAACAAGCAGTCATCTAAGTGAGCAATGAACTAAGTCCACAAGGAAGAAACACACCAGCTTGTGTGATCCAAAGATGGCAAAACCAAACCCAAATATGACGAAGGGAAAAGTATCAGAGCTGAAATTGTGAACACCCAATTTGTAGAAGACTCTGGAGACAGTGGGAGCCCCAACCCCATCTGCAGAGCATCTGGTCAGATGAAGCCCCTGGCACAGGCCAGGGACTCAAACAGCTGTACTATCAGACAGAGATCATTATAAACTTGGTTATGCTGGACTGAACTTGACTCCCTCTTGACCCAATCTGAATTTGTTCTAGGCTCAAGTATTTCTTGCTTGTTTCACAACAAAAATTTCTCCCCCTGGCTGTTTAAATATTGATGGGGGTACACGTCATTTGTATTTTTATCTTTAGATTATTCTTATTTTATCCTTACTGCTTTATTTCATCTTTGTTTTTATTGTCCCTGTTGGGTGTCCCAGTTTGAGAAGCAAAGAAGGGCTAGGTGCATAGAGACAGTAACTGATGCACTGACTTGTCGGGGATGGGGGTGGGGGAGATAAGGAGGGAAAGAGGTTTGGGGAGCCAACAATGAATGTGGGAGGGGGCACTAGAGCTGATTGTGATTACGTATATACAACTTTTATGCGATTTAATACTACATCAAGAAAACCACGGGGAAATGAAGCAGCAGCAGCCACACTTGACGGATGGCTACCACGGGTGAAGGGAGAGTTGGAGCTTAGGGGCGTTGAGGTTATGTCAATGGTGGGGGATAACTGGGAAAGGGATATCAATAACGGTTGTACAGCACAGAGCCTAACCAATGGCACTGAATTACATTGGTACAAGTTGTGGAAATCGAGAATGTGTTGTGTATAGTTTTGCCACGATTCGCAAAAAAACCACACGCGTAGCAAGGACAACGAGGAAGAGGAAATGTCCTAGAATTGAATGCGGTGACCGTCGATCAGCTCTTGATACGACTGCACTACTGAATGGCATGGCGTGTGCACGGAATGCTAGTAAAACGGTTCCCTTGCTTGTTCAAGGCGGTCCCGTCTCGGAAGCGGAATCGACGCGCCGGCGCTCCTCGGGGCGCCGCGCCATGGCCGCCGCTCGGGTGCTGCTGCTCCTGGCCGGACCCCCGGAGCCGGCCAGCTTCGCACGGAGCGTGTGCGGGCTCCTGGGCGCCGGGCCGGAGCGCGGGCCGAGGCCCACTCACTGCAGCCTGAAGCGGGGCCAGCTGGTGCTCTCGGACCGGCCCTTCCCGGGCGCCGCGGCCAGGCTTCCGCTCCAGGTCGGGGAGGCGGGGGACAACGGCCGGCCGGGAGGGAGGGAGGCAGGCGCGGGGACGGGGCTGCGCAGGGGGGGCGGGGGGCAGCCCGCTGCTCCCGGCCTCCTCCCTCCCCACGCGGCCCCGCCCGGTTCCTAAAGGCCCCAGAAGCCCTAACTTGTGGGCTCCCCTGCCAGCGATCCCCTTTCTGCCCCTTCGCGGCTCTGGAGCAGCGGCCCAGAGGCTCCAGACCCGAGCTGCCCACAGACCGAGGTGTGGACTTGGGTGTGGCCGTCATTCTGCAGTCCTGCGACCAGACTGTCCTGTTGACACGCAGGACCCGCACCCTCAGGGTTTCCCCCAATATCTGGGTACCCCCAGGTGAGCATCCTTTCCCCTTATTCCCAGGAGGATGCAAAGTGGGCCCAAGATACAAGATGTGGCAGCTGCATGTGTCCACCAGAGGGAGGGCCGTGGAAACACTGAGTGGGGGGAGGGGTCCCCACCCCTCACGACACTCATGTAGTGACCTGTTTTTGCAGGTGGGCATGTGGAACTGGAGGAAGAGGTAACCTTGGACCACCTTGATGTGGGTAGAGAGAGGGGCAAAGAAAGGCTAGCAGGAAGGAGGCAAGCCCCAGCTCCTCTGACCGGCCCTCTCTGACTCCCAGCTGCTGGACGGAGGACTCCGAGAGCTTTGGGAGGAGAGTGGACTACGGCTGGCCCAGGGCAAGTTCTCCTGGGTCCCTCTAGGGTTATGGGAGGTAAGGAAGGGACCCTGGAGACCCTTCTACTTAACCAACTTCTGGTTACGCCCGAGTCGGAATCCACTTGATGGCCTTGCGTGTTAGCCCTCAGCTTCTTCGATCAGACTGTAGGATTATCTGCCTTGGCCATGGGGGCTGAAGGTGGAGTGTGAGATGGAGTCACCCAGTCCTCACCCAGTTACCTCTGGCCCCCTCCACCCTCTGGACCAGCATCCTTTCACCTGAAAGCTGTTTTATAGTCTCTGGTTCCCAATTCCCACCGTTTCCTCCTCAGTCTGCCTACCCTCCACGGCTGAGCTGGGGTCTCCCCAAGTACCATCACATCGTCCTCTATCTGCTGGTCACCTCCCAGGAGTCAGAACAGCAGCTGCAGGTAGGGCTGGCAGGACAAGGGCATGGGCTCATGGAAGCCTGGTCTGGTTCTGCCTGTGACTAAAGAACGAGGGGCCCAAGGGAGCACGTGACCTACACAGCCCTGCCCCATGGCTCTCCTCTTCGGCTGTGGGTCAGGCGGGCTCAAGGCCTAGCTTCCCGGGACAAACATGTCTGACCCAACCAGGCACGGATCCAACCAAACCCAAGTGAGGTGAGCGCCTTCATGTGGCTGGGACCAGATGTAGCAGCTGCAGTGGCAGCCACAGCGGATGGAACAGAGACAGCCAGACCTCTTCCCCAGGGCTTACCGCCTTCCATCCCGTAAGTCTGAGTTTCTCCCCAATTCCCCACTGCCAGGTCCGGTTTCTATCCCTTCCTCATGGAGGAACTATGTCGTGGTCAGCTGGTAATGAAGAGGGCACATGGTTATCAGACGCTGACCACCAGTCCACTCAAGGGCGCTTGCTCCGACCAGCTAGCTCTGAAGGCTGGCGTTCTGAGTCCCCGTTCTCCCACAGGGGCATGTAGCCTCCCCTTGCACCTGTTTCCTTTCTGTATGATGAAAGCCTGCCCCACCTGTGGTGGTTGGGGGGGGGGCGGGGCTAGATCACTTAGTGGAGGTGGAAGTGCTTTGCAAGGCGCAGCCCAAATAGGAGCTGGCATTCCGCAGTGCAGTGGAGCTGCTGGAGGATGGAGAAGCCCGACCGCAGGCCCTGCCTGTGGCCACACTGCTAAGGACCACTCCAACCACAGCAAAGCTGGAGGAGAGGGTCAGCATGGGGACCAAGTTTGCCCTCAGGCTCTGGCTGCAGCACCTGGGCAGGTAAGCGGGAGGAGGTACTGAGAGTTCCTATCATGAGGCTGGGTGCTCTGGATCACAGGTCCCCAAATTTACTTGGTCTACTGCTCCTTTTCAGGAAAACAAAACAAAACACACTACCGCTCTGGCAATGAAACACTTTCATACAATAGCCCATAATCCAGGATAAAGTCTAGGTATCTGCTTTGGTAGACACCCCCTCCTTGCATCATGCCAGTGTCCCCCAGGGGGCGAATCAGTCACTTTGGGAAACACTGGTCTACATGTTTGTTTTTTAATGGGTGCATAGGGCGGGAAGGAAGGAGAAAGGACAGTTGCTCTTGGAAATCCACAGGGTGACAACCCCACCTTGTGAGAGTGGAGCTCACCTGGACCCAAGGCCAACCAAAGAAGAGCCGACCCTGGATGCCCTGCCCCCAAGCCAGGGGCTTGGAAAGCCAAGTTCATAAGCCGCTCTCCAACCAACACTCACAGAATATTCACGACCTTTATTATGGGTGAGCATTTTGCTAAAATGTTGGGAATAAAAAGTAAAATCATAACAGAAGTTCTAGGCCCTGGAGAAGACTGAAAAAAAGGAATTGGGACGGAGGCCCGAGTCCCCCTGTGTCCCCAGAAAGGTGCAGACGGAACCAACCGGGGGCCTCTGAGAGCTTGGGCCCCGGGCTGGTCGTTAAGACACGTTAGGAACTTTAAATATATAAATAGAGAAAGACCCAGGTTAGGCCAGGGCCTGCCCCCAACCCTAGGGGATCAGGACCAAGGCCTTAGCATCTCCTCAGTCAGCCTGGGAAGCGGGAGGTGGGAAAAGCCATCTTTGGAGTATTTGGTTTTTGTTTATGTACAAAAAACAATTTTGCAACCCAAAATAAAGTTCTCTGTCCACGGTTTCTGTTTCTCCTCTTGTCTGTTTGGCCAAAGGGAACGAACGGAATGGACGTGACGAGACAATGGAGGTGGGAGAACAGAGCCCTGGGTTTGGGGGATGAAAGAATCGGGCACCCGGGGAGCAAAGAGAGACCGGCCCCTCCTCACAAGGCTGGACATACAGTTCGGGCTGACTCAGCCCTTCCCCCAACCCAACCCCAGCCCACTTGCCTGCCACTGCCTAGGCGAACACACCCAGAGCAAAGCGCGGCCTCCAGAGAGCACTTCCACAGTGGACCAGGACGTCCTTAGCAAGAGGTTAAATATTAACCCTTTGGGTACTGGCCTTGTCAGGCAGAGATAAGGCCAAAAATCGGTGTCCATGAAGGTCTATCCGGTCTGTCTGGCCAGAAGCCCCACAGGGGTGGGGGTCAGAGTGGCCAGGGGTCTGGACCCCACTTCATCCTTGCTCACAGTTGGGAGGGGACAATGAAGGGTTCACAGTCCAAGGGACTCAGTCCAGAGAAATAATGTCTGACCTACAGCCGGCCAAGGAGGGACCTGAGGGCAGGGGGCCTCCATGCCCCTCCCGCAAGGTCCCCCCCGGGGCCACAATGCTGCTGACCCGGCCTGGAGGCGGTGCCGGAGGGGAGCTGCGGTGGGAGCTCCCCAGCGGGGCCAGTGGGCCCAGGAAGTGGGCAGGGGTCCCCCGGTACTGGAAGAAGTGGCCAAGGGCATCCTGCTCGTCTAGCGAGGTGATGACGGAGGGGCCGTAGTGCTGGGAGGGATGAAGGGCAGAGTTTACAGGTTTGTCCTGACTTCCCCCACCTCCCCATCTCAGAAATGCAGTCAGGGTAAGTCGGGCCCTGTGGGTCACGGAAGCATTCTCTCAGAAGCAGGGCAGCAGCCTCTCTCTGGCTCTTTCTCCCACTTCCCCCGCATCCCATCCCTGAGACAGGCCTCCAGCTCAAGGGCATCTGGAGCGTGGGTAATGTCAAGTTGAGGCAGGTGTGGTGTTCAAGTGCCACGGGGAGGTGGAGGGTATGAGGGGGGAGCAGGATGGCGAGCAGGTTGGGACAACAGTGACAGGGCATCTTAGAAGACATGAACGGAAACGTGATAAGCTGCCTGCCCTGTCCGTCCCCTCCCAGAAGCACTGAGCCAGGTCCTGGTGGGGGAGAAGGAGCCCATCAGCGCTAGAAAGGACATTTCAGAGAGCCTCACAGGGGAAGGCCACTTACCTGGCTCTCTGTCTGCAGGAAAGAAAATAAATCTAAACCTGGGAGGAAGAGAAAAATCAAGAGTCAGTTTCCTCAGTCTATAAACCCGAGTCCACAGACCGAGTGCCCTCAAAGTATCCATGAGTGAAGGACACAGGAGCCCTGGTGGCACCGAGGCTGAGAGCCTGGCTGCTAACTACAAGCTCAGCAGTTCGAACCCACCGGCTGGATTGTGGGAAGAAGATGTGGCCATTGGCTCCCCTACAGACAACCGTCTTAAAAATCCTCTGAGATGAACTCTGGGCTGAGTCGGCCATGGTCTGAGTGCTCCCGGGGCTGGGAGCACATGAGGAGCCCCTCCATTCCCCGAGGACCAGGAGCTCAATGAGCAGTCCCCTCTGCCTTTCACACTCGGGACCTGTGCTGGCCGGGCTGAGGGTCAGAGGACACCAGACGGAGGCGGGGGCAAGCGCAGGACCACAGTGTGGCCCTGTGCAGGGCTGGTTCCTCCAGTCTCTGGGGACCCACCCTGAGGAAGGGGTGGGTGCTTTGTTGGCAATGGGCCTTTTGGTTACCGATTGTGAAACAGGTGGCCTGGGAGACCAGGAGATGTGCGTCTTGGTGGACAGGGGTCTGAAGTACACTGAAATTGACCTACAAACTTGTTGGTACAGACTACAGTTCTTGCATTTTCTTACCCCCCTAAAAAAATTGGAAAATAAGAGAAACAAAAAACATTAAGTCTCCTGTGTGACTCTGATCCCAGAAAGATAGAAATTCCTTAAGTTGTGGGCACTTTGGAGAGAGCCATGCGCCTCTGAAATAGAGCAAGGGTTCTGCCGGGGTCTGCGGAGGGGATGGCAGTACCGGGCCCAGCCTGGGACTGGTGTCCTACCTTGGATGTCAGCCCCCAGCGGGAAGGCAGGCGGACGCTCATGCAGAGGGAGCGTGGACAGGAAATCCCCGCCCAGTGAGCCCACGGCAGGGCTGCGGAGCACAGAGGACAGCTGGTGACCGGAGGTCAGGGCGCTGTGAGGGGAGAGGTGGAGCTGCGGCAGCCGGGGAACACAGACGCCCTCCCACGGCTCCGCCACCCAGGCCCCTGACTCCCCAGGGTCCCACCACCCTCTCCCTTGCCCGGCGATCACAAAGCACCCCTGGCTGTCTTGCCCGTCGCTTCTGCTGCAGATGCGCCCTGTCTCCTCGTACCCTTTGCTGCCAGGCAGAGCCGGCAGGGTAGCTGAGGCGACAGGACAGTGCTTCTTGGTCGGGGGCAGGTCCTCCTCGTCTGAAGAGCTTTCTATTGTCAGGTCAATAACCTCAACCTTCTTCTTATTCTCCGGGGGGTCTCCCTCGCGGACCGGGCTGTACTGGAGGCCTGTGGGAGGGGAGTCAGCAGTGTCTCAGAGAAGAGGCAAGCCAGGATTGAGCTCAGCTGGAGGGCGGGGTGTCACTCACCATCCAGCCCAAACCCTGGTGGGGGGCAAACCTCAGACGCCTCCTTCTTAGGCCTCATTGGGCACCAGGAGCCATCTTCCATGAACTGGATCTCATCGCAGTCCGAGCAGGAATTAAGAATCTCCATGAATAAACTGGGGGAGAGGAGGGACAGCAGTTCGTAGGGCTGGAGATGGCTGCAAGAGGAGCCGGAGAGTCCGGCCACTTACCTTCCTATACCTCAGTTTTCTCACCTGTAAAACAGGGATAACACCCATCCTACTGGTCTGAGTTGTTAAAATCAAGTGAAAGGTGCAGAAAAGAGCTTCGCAAACTCTGCAAGTGCCAGGCTTAAAGGTAAGGACATTCTGAGCACGTGGTATGTGGTGCTGGGAACAAGACCTTAGAAGGCACAGAGGTACAGAACTCCACAGGCCAGATCAAAAGGGCACTGAGAACAGGACCGTAGTGCCGACTTGGGGTGGGTGGGAGGGATGTTTGATTAGCCAGATCAACAAACACAGTCAAGGCCCCCAAAGTGCCTGATGGTTATGCTCAGTGGGAGATGGGTAGTTGAGACAGGCAATTTGGCGTAACAGTTCATACATTCACTCTGCCATTATTTATAGTACAGGCAGTCCCCGGGTTACAAGCAAGGAGAGCAGTTCCTAAACGTGTCTTTAAAAATCTCGTAGGCGAGCAGGGTGCATTCGGTGAAGATGCTAACTGCAAGGTCAGCGCTTCAGAACCAGGCTTCTAGGAAGAAAGCGGGCTTTTTAATCCAACGAAGAGGTGCAGTCTCAGAGACGCACAGGGGCAGTCCTGCCCTGTCATACAGGGTCGCTCTGCGTCAGCACGGGCTCGATGGCGCGGAGTGGGGCGGGGTGTTGGTTAGTGCTGTGGGCTAGGTACTGCTGTGACCTAGGCATTGGGCTGCTTACCACATGGTCGGCAGACCAAGGCCACCAGCCCCTCCACGGCAGAAAGACAGACTGTCTGCTCTCATAAAGATTTGGTCTCAGAAAGCCTACATAGGGTCCTTATGAATAGGAATCAACTTGATGGCAGTTGGTTTAGCGCAGAAAAGAAGAACTCAAAACCTTTTCAATGATTGTAAAATCTGTATGTGCCACAAGTGAAAGTGACTGTGATGAGAAATTTCTTCAAATCTGGGTTTGTTTAAGGGCTGCCCTAGTAGCACAGGGGGTAAGGCACTTAGCTATTAGCAGAGGGTCAGTGGTTCGAATCCACTAGAGGCTCCAGGGGAGAAAGCTGTGACAGTTCACTTCTCCAACGATTGGCCGCCCTGGAAACTACAGGGCAGTGCCACCTGCCCGGGGGGGGGCCACAATAAGAACTATCTCAATGGCAGTGGGTTTTGTCTGGTTTCTGTAGGTTTGACTCTCAGGCACATCACAATGAGAGTACACGGACAGTCTGAAGGGCAAATAAGAGGTATGCATAGAAGGTGGGCATTCCTCACCCTGCGACTGCCAGCATGTACAGTTATGAGCAAGACAATCTCTCTGGACCTCAGTCTCTTCATCGGTAACAACAAGGCCCCTCTGAGCACTACTGGGAGGGGTCGATGAAATAAGACACGTGAACTGCTGGACCCAAAGCCTAGTGCGTGCTAAGCCCTCAGTGATGACGCAGACAGAGAATGGAGTCTGGCAAAGGGGAAAGAAAGGGGAGATGATGGAATACATAGGGGGGCCTTCCAAAAGTGCATGGAAAATAAAAGGGAAACTAATGGGCTCCCCTGCCCCAAACACTTTAAAATCCCTCGGAGACAGGGTTCCTCTCAGAAGAGGCCTGAGTGGCTGCTGTAGCAAAGAGGAAACAGAATGGCCCTACCCATCAATGATCAGGGACTCATAGGGAGCCTTCTTGTCGCACACGGGGCACGTCCACGTGGGCTTCTTCTCATTCATCTGCAGATAGAGGGCAGCATCGAAGCTCTGCAGATGGGCGCAGGTGAGTGCGCGGCAGGGGACTGTCAGCCGCATCTTCCCGAGCTGAAAGAGGCAAATTCTCTGGTCAGGGTCCCCACGTCCAGGGCAACCTCACTCTAGTATCACAGTCCAGGGTTAACCCAGCCCTGCTCCCCTGGACTCACCGGGCACATGAGAGACACCCGAAGACTCGTAGTAGCCACCTCACTGTCTGGGTCAGCGGTCAATTTCTCCTTGACTGAAACAAGAGGGAGGCCAGGGCCGGGGCTCAGCAAGGCGAGGGGGGACTCAACACAGGGTCAGGTCCGAATCAGATGGCTCTGGCTGAGAGGCCTTCGGGACCAATGGATGTCTCACTGGGCAGGGAGGGGATCTGGATAAGGAAGGAGGCGTGGAGGACAGAGTGCCCCTGGAGGTTTCAACACAGCCAGCTGGCACTTTGGCAGATAGTCTAGAGCAGGGGAGGGCACACTTTTGAGACGGAGGAGCCAATCCTGTCCCTCACAGCAATTTAAAAAGTTACTCGAGAGCCACAAATACATTTTTACAAACAAATGAAATCACCAACAATATCCTTTACAGATTTTCCATTTTACTTCAGAGCGGTATGTAGCTACACCGACACACTGCCTGTGGTTCCCGAGCCAGTGTCTGCCGACCCCTGGTCTAGAGCAAAGCTTCTTAAACTGTGGTCCCCACCACATCGGGTTGTGAACAGTTCAACTGAGAGTTACAAATAATTCTGCAACCGTATACAAGGCTTCTGAATGCGCAGTGACCAAAAGTGAATTCAAAATCAAACATGAGTCTGGGGTGTTTCTGGCAGCATTTGCCCATTTTATAAATCTCTTGGGCCAAAAAGGGGTCGCAAGCGGGGAAAGTTTAAGAAGCCCTGGTCCAGAGCAGTGTTGCCCCTGTGAGGGGCTGCAAAAGCAGACCCCATACGCTGTCCTGGATTAAGGGCCAAGTACACGGTTCCAATGGCCAGGGCGGTGCTGAGTGATGATTTTTCTGAAAAGGGGGTGGTAGGCCAAGGCAGATTGGGGAAGGGAAGAAAAAAAATTTGCTCACTGCCCTTCTGACATGGTAAACTTTTGTACTACAGTCTATAACCCAGGTTAAGGTGTAGGTGTCTGCTTGTGCACCCCTGTGGATCGTGTCAGTGCCCCCCCCCCCCATTGCCCGCTGGTCTAGAGAGAACTAAAGCATCATGGGAGAGTTCCATGACATGATTTTTAAGGCCCTTCCCAATCCTAAGAGGTCATATTCCAGCAGGGCTGGAGTTGGGGGTCTGTGAGCCATGAAGCACTGTATGCTTGGGAGTAAATGGCTGGCATTCAGTGCCTAGGAGTGGTCCGAATTCTCCACCAAACAAACTGGTAAGGTGAGGATGGGGTCAGGATGGGGGCTCATGTGAGAGGGGAAAGGAAATGTCCCAGGAGGGGTGTGGTGTGGCTTGATTATGAAGGCTGGGGGGTGGGGGTGGGGGTGGGGCTTGGCTGCAGGTCAGAGGACGAACCGAGAGAGGCTGTTACTCACTCAGCGCCCGGGAGTGGTCTGGGTTCCGGATGCCCTTGGCTCTGAGCTTCTGTAGAAGGGTCCCTGCAGTCAACTGCCTCACCAGGTACACAGACAAGGAGTAATTCTACTTGGGGGTGGAGGGGAGTAATGATCAGCCCCTGCTTTTTACACCCACCCCCCACCCTTGCCCCATGAAGGCTGGAGACACTGGGTTATACAGCAGAGCTCTAGAAAGAGGAACATGCTTCCCCAAACCAGGCCACGGGATGGTTTCCCCCACTCTCTTCCCTGTCCTACAGGACCCCACCCCCACCCCCAGGTTCGCTGCCTCAGCCACGCTCACCCGTCCAAACTCAGATGACCAGTTGACTACGATGGTATTGGGAACGGTAGCCGAGAGCCGAGCCAGAGGTGTGATGTTGATGGGGCGGCTGGGCCTCTTGGGCTCTGCTCCATTCTTGGTGGGGGGAAGGTAACCCTGGAAAAGGGAGGGGCTGTCAGAGGAAGGCTCCGTGGGAACTGGGCTATTCACTCCTTGAAGGGATGGACGGCGGGTGCAGTCACTGACCAGGGGGGTGGGGACTCATTCAGTGACTCAAAAAACTGGGGCACTAAGGTTGGGGGTGCAGAGAAAAGAAGGCACAGTCATTGTCCGAGGAAAGGCGCTCTGTGTCCATAAGGTAAGGTGGAGAACGGGGGTGCCTCACCTCTGCCGACTCCCAGCTCTGGGGTATTCACAGCCAAGAAGTCTTCCCTGAGTCTCTGGGTGGAACTGGCTGTCCTTCTGAGTTCTGACCCAGCCCTTTGTTGAGCCCTCTCTAAGTAAGCACTGTGCAGATGAGCCAGGCACTGTGCTAGGCATATCTCTTTATGGGCCTGTCTCTCCACAAATCCCAAGGCAGCAGGGGCCATCCCCCATTCATCGAGGTCATCCCAGCACTGGCGCAGTCACGGCCCCTAACAAGTGCACCGCTCACACGGGTTGAAAGGAACTGAAGGGGGGTCAGGAGTGACTGCTAGAGAAGGGAAGAGCACTTACCGGCAGGGGGCACAGCTTCCCATTGACCTTGACAAAGAGGTTGGGGGGGAAATAGTCTTCCTGGGGGCAGCTGGTCTCACAGAGACAGAACCTGGTTAAGAGATGGAAGATGATGAAAGGGTGGGAAGCCGGTTCTGGGACGGGATCCAGGAGCGACAGCAGGAGCCCCAGGAAGCCAAGCATGCATGTCTGTAGCCCACCCCAATCCCACAGGAGGTCCAAGGCCGGGATGGGCACTGACAGCAGGAACAGACCCTAGGGGTATTCGCCACTCCCACCCCCAGTGGGGCCCGGGTAGGCCAGGGAGAGGGGGCCAAATCACCTTAGCTGCACTTGGATGGTATAATCGCATTTGGATCCCGGCAGAAGCTCTCTGTAACAGAGGGAGAGATGTCAGCATGCTGCACCCAACCACCGGGCGAGGAGGTGGAGAGTGAGATGTCCAGGGAATCAAGAAGAGACACCACAGGGGCTGAGGGTGAGGGAAGGAGGCAGCCCAGGAGGACAGCAGGGGAGAAGAGAAGGCCAGGCTGGCAGAGAGCAGAGCGGAGGGCTCACCACCCAGAATGGAGGCCGGAGGGCTGAGTAGGCAAGTACCTGGACGTGAGGACCTGCTGCACTTGCTGGGGCGTCAGGGCAAAGGTAAAGTGCGCTTCTTCAAACCGCTGGCTGGAGGTGGATGCTGAGGACACAAAAGGGCGGTGACCCCCAAGCCAGGCACCCACTGGCGGCCTCAGGAGTTGCCCCCGTCCCGGGTGGCTGATCCCACAAGGGCGAAGGCCCAAGAAAGGATCAGGGGAGAGGCTGAGGGTCCATGGAGAACCATACCGAGGGTGGTGGGCCGGATGAGTTCCCCGTAGACTTCATAGAAAGGCAACAGTTTCATGGTGACATCAGGGTGCACAGGCTGGGGCAGAGAAGGGTGCATGTCTACCTCACGCTTGGGGACCAGCACAGTGCCAGGGGCCAAGAGGGACGGGGGAATGGGGGCTAAGGGGCTGGGGGAGGTGACAGGAGGGGTGCCAGGGGGCAGCGAGATCAGGGAGAGATCGGAGGGCCCCAGGGTCTTCCGGGGAAAGCGCCGGCGGTAAAGCTCCTTGATCTTCATCTGGACGCTGGGAGCACAGCTGGATTTGAGGAGGTGCAGGGCCTTGGCCAGGAGCTCGTGCTTCCTTCCACTCTTGTTCCGGCCAGCGAAGCCGAGGAGCACCTGGAGCTCAGAGACCCGGAAACTCATCACCATGTGCTGTGGGGAAGAACAGAAGCTGCGAATCCCGCCAAGGACCCTGAGCCCCAGCTACCCGGTGGTCAGGGCCTCTTCTCCACCAGCACTGATCAGAGTGCTGCTTTTCAGCTAGCGAGATGAGCTTCTGGCAATGGCCCTGGCCAGAGGGGCCTCTCGGCTCCCTTTTAAAAGCCTCTGGACAATCTCACCTGGAGGCCTCAGCTGGCGTGGCCCCCTCTCCCCTGGCCTGGAAGCTGGTCACAGCAGGAGCCAGGGAGGGCAGACAGCAAGCCATCCCCAGGCACACACTCTGAGTCCACTCGCACTTCCCACCCCTCTCCTGAACAGTCCTGTAAGCTGCTCAGCTCCTGTCCTGCTCTTACCTAGACCTGCCCCCCAGCCTCCTGGGAAGAGGATAAGATACAGGAGACGCAGGAGAGAAGAAAGGACTCGGGCGGCAGAGAGCCCTTTGGAGACAGAAGGAGGCAGATGGTGAGAGGAGTGTGCCCCTCAGTTCACCCCTCCCAACTACCTCGACCTACCTCCCCCAAGCCTCTGAAGCCTTTGTTGTGGACAAGGGTTTCCAGGCCAGAGTTCAATATTCCTAATTGCCCACATCCTTCCTCTGTGTCACCTGTGTAATCTCCACGCCCCGAGTCCTAGTTTCTGAGGAAAACATGGCCAAAACGGGGGCGAAGGGAGACGACGAGTCAACCCCCAAGTCTAGGTATACCCGGGCCCACCATGGGCCAGAAACTAAGATCCGGTTCTCTCCTCCGGAGAGAAAAGACGAGCCCCAGGCCATCCTTCCCAGAGAGGACAGAGGAGAGCAAGGTGCGAGGCAGAAGCCCTGGCAGAAGGGGAAGCAGTGCCTGGCTGCACACCGCAGGGTGGGGCAGAGGGCTAATGCGCGTGGTCGCTGACGGAAAAGCAGGAGGTTCCAGTCCATCCAACAGTGCCTCGGGAGAAAGGCTGGGGACTCGACTCGGGAAAACTCAGTCCTTGCAAACCTCACGGAGCACGACTCTCCTCTGCCACCCGAGGATGGCCCTGGGTCAGCAGTCAGTCAGATGGGCCCCGGATTAGGCACCAAATCAAACCTGGTGGCAGAGGGGTGAACCCACTGGGGGGAGGCTGGGCGAGCTCTTCTCCCACGCAGACATGCACAGACTCCGTACGGTGGTGGGAGCGCTCTCCTTCCGGGACTCCTGGCCATGATTCTGCAGAAGATGCTCGGCCACGGACCGGCCTTGCTGGGCTCTCCAAAGTCCTTCCCTTCGTGGCAGGGCTGGCCTTATGGGCTAGTCTCCTTTGAGGGCTGCGGGGAACTAGCTCCTCTCCCCCTGCCTCACCCTCACTTCCTCCGCTCTCTCTCCGTCTTTCCAACAGTTGGGCCTCCAGCGGGCCCAGCTTGGGGCTCCACAGCCACACCCGCTCGCGGACACGGGCTGCATGTTGCCCCACCCCTCGGTGCACGCACACGAGCCCCGCCCCCTGCACCCCAGCCACTTCCAGGGCACATCCCGAGGCTGGAATCCCAACCGCGGTCCCCAAGCCTCCATCCCATTTCCCCGAGGAGCCGCTCCTCCATCCGTGCCCAGTCCCATCCCCACCGCTGCCCGCGGCGGCCGCGTCCCTGGGCCTGGATGGGCTCGGCCCCCTCCGCCTCTGCAACAGCTGGCCGCTCGCCCCACCCCTACAGCTGGCGGCACCACC